GAGATTGGTGGGTGTTGTAGTCTTCCATGGAGGAAGGAAGGAGAGAAATAAGAAGTGGTTTGGTGGTGGTGGGTGTGAAATGGTGGAGGAAGGAAGGAGAGAGAAGTGGTTTGGTAGAAAAGCTTGTTTTCTAGTTGGCCGGCTAACCGAGCATAAAATCGAAAACGACTGGTCGGTTGGCCGGCTAACCGTGACCTCTATCACGGTCGATGGTCGGCAGTACTAGGAAGTGGCTCGGTTAAACCGAAACCGACCGACTGCCACCCCTACTCACAGAGCACTTACCTGTATCTTTGCTGCTGTAACAGAAGAGGTCTTCTCAAGGATTATGACCTGCACCACTGCAAAGCAAGCTTGGGACAAAGTTCAAGAGGAGTACCAAGGGTCTGACAGAGGTAAGCAGATGACTGTTCTTAACTTGAGAAGAGAATTTGAAAGTTTCAAGATGAAAGAAACTGAATCTGTTAAGGAGTACTTAGACAGGATTATGAAAAATGTGAATCAAATGAGGCTGCTTGGTGATGAGTTTAGTGACTCTAGAGTAGTTGAAAAGATTCTGGTCACTGTACCAGAGAAGTTTGAGGCCAAAATCTCAACCTTGGAAGAAACAACAGATCTTACCACTATCACCATAACTCAACTCATCAACTCACTACAAGCTACTGAGTTGAGAAGCTCTATTAGAAATGAGGACCAATCTGAGGAAGCTCTAGTTGCTAAACAGTAGAAGAGTAAAGGACAAGGTTCTGGAACAAAGAAGGTCATACCTAAGAAGCAAAAGGGAAAGGAGGAGCAGACTGAGAAGTCTACTGAGAAGAAGGTTTTTCCTCCTTGTCCACACTGTAAGAAAACTACTCATTCTGAGACGTTTTGCTGGTATAGACCTAATGTTCAGTGCAGGGCTTGTAAGAGAATGGGTCATGTTGAAAAGGTGTGTAAGAACAAGACCATTAGAGAGCAAGCTGCTATTGCTGAGGCCAATGAACAGAACAAGAAAGCTAAAGGAATGTTCATGGTCACTTGCTACTTGGCAAATAGTAGCAGTGAAGACTGGCTTCTAGACACTGGATGTACAAATCATATGACACATAGAGAGGAGTACTTTCAGAGTCTTGACAGGTCTTATAAGTCAAGAGTAAAGATTGGAAATGGAGACATGCTTTCTGTTGAAGGAAAAGACTCAGTTTCTGTGCAAACTGACTTTGGATCAAAGGTAATCTCTGAAGTTCTCTGTGTTCCTGCACTAGCTCAGAATCTGCTCAGTGTAGGTCAAATACTTTGTAGAGTTACAGAACAAGAAATGTGTGGTATTTGATCCCAGTGGTGACAAATTGTTTGAGATTCTAATTGTTCAAAGAAGCTTTCTCTTGAAAATGAAGGCTGTTAAAACTGCTTTGGTGGTTAGAAATGATGAGTCTACACTCTAGCATAGTAGATTAGGTCATTTCAGCCATAACACTCTAATCAAAATGGCTAACAAGGAAATGATAAGTGACTTACCTCATCCGGAGCCAGGAGAAGGAGTTTGCCAGGTCTGTCAACTAGGCAAACAACACAGATTGCCATTCCCTAAGAAACATACTTGGAGAGCTCCTACAAAGCTTGGTCTGATTCATACAGACATATGTGGACCCTTTAAGGTGAAATCATGGGGAGGAAGCAAGTATTTAATACTTTTCATTGATGACTTAACCAGATTCTGCTGGGTTTATTTCTTGAAGAACAAGTCTGAAGCATTACCAGTATTTCAGAGGTTTAAGGCTTTTGTTGAGAAGCAAAGTGATTGCAAAATCAAGACCCTGAGATTTGATAATGGAAAGGAATACACCTCTCAAAGCTTTGAAAAGCTTTTAGCTTCTGAAGGTGTACTTCATCAGCTTACTGTGAGATATACTCCACAGCAAAATGGAGTAAGTGAAAGGAAGAATAAGACTGTTATGGAGATGGTAAGGTGTCTTCTCTTTGAGAAGAAAATGCCTAAGAAATTTTGGGATGAGGCAGTAAATACCTCAGTCTACTTGCTTAATCGACTGACTACCAGGTCAGTGAAAGACAAAACACCATTTGAGGCCTGACATGGTTACATACCTAGTTTGCCCCATCTCAGGATCTTTGGCTCAGTGTGTTTTGCACATGTTCCAGCTCCAAAAAGAGACAAGCTGGATCACAGATCAGAATTGGGAATCCTGGTGGGCTATAGTGCTGAATCTAAAGCCTGCAGGATCTTCAATCCAACTACTGAGAAATTCCAGTTGAGTAGGGATATTGTCTTTGATGAACATGCAAGTCATAACTGGTCCTTGAATGGAAGTGAAAATGAAGACATTTATGATCTAGTCACTCTTCAATTTCAAGGCCAGGCTGACTTTGATGAAGAACCAGAACCACAGGTTGATCAAGAACCAGAAATTCAAGAGCCTGATCAACCTGATGATCTGGAATCTGAAAATGAAGATCAAAGTGATGATCAAGACTATGAGTCTGATGAAGAACCTCTTGTGAGAGGGCTGAGACCACTTACAGACATCTATGAAAGGTGCAATGTGAGCATTGAAGAACCTGATAGTGTACCGGAAGCTCTAAGACACAATGGATGGAATGCTGCAATCAAGGAGGAGATCAAAATGATTGTGAAAAATGAGACTTGGATACTGGTTAAAAGACCAATTGGAAATAAAGCAATAGGGACAAAATGGGTTTTCAGAGTCAAGTTGAATCCTGATGGTTCTATCAACAAGCTGAAAGCCAGGTTAGTTGTGAAGGGCTGTGCTCAACAATGGGGAACTAACTATGTAGAAACTTTTGCTCCAGTAGCAAGGTTAGATACAATCAGACTGCTGTTGGCTATAGCTGCTCAAAAGAAATGGAAAGTGCATCAGCTAGATGTCAAGTCTGCCTATCTAAATGGTTATCTTCAGGAGGAGATATATGTTGAACAACTTGAATGTTTTGATGTTCCTGGTGAAGAGCACTCAGTTTATCTTTTAAAGAAGGCTCTTTATGGTCTGAAGCAAGCTCCAAGAGCTTGGTATTTCAGAATTGATGAGCATTTCTTGCAGCTTGGATTTGCTAAAAGTCCTAGTGAACCAACACTGTATGTAAGGAACAACAGTGAAGGAACTGTAATGATTTCCTTATATGTTGATGATTTGCTTGTTACAGGAAGTGATGAGAAGCAAATAGAAAAGTTCAAGATCAGCATGCTTAAGGAGTTTGAAATGACAGATCTTGGACTCATGTCTTATTTCCTTGGCATCCAAATTTCTCAAACTGAGAAGGGCACTTTTATAAACCAAACAAAGTATGCCAAAGAAATACTGAAGAAGTTTGAGATGGAGAATGCCAAGCCTGCTCCAACACCACTTCATGTACGAATTCAACTCACAAAAGAGGATGGTTCAGGACTGCTTAAAGCCAAGGTTTATAGAAGTTTAATTGGGTGCTTGCTGTACCTGTCTGCAACCAGACCAAACATTATGTTTGCCTCTGGTTTGTTAGCCAGATTCATGCAAGCTCCAACTTAGACTCACTACAAGACTGCCAAAAGATTGCTGAGGTTCATCAAGGGTACCATTGATCATGGATTGATGTTTAAAAGTGGAAAGGAAGTGTGCTTGAAAGGTTACTGTGACAGTGACTGGGCTGGATCTTCTGAGGACATGAAAAGCACCTCTGATTTCACTTTTACACTAGGATCAACTATCTTTTGCTGGAGTTCAAAGAAGCAAAGCATTGTAGCTCAGTCAACTGCTGAACCTTAGTACATTGCTGGTTCTGAAGCAGTGAATCATGCAGTTTGGTTAAGATAAATTATGGAAGATTTGAGTTTCAAGAAAATGCAACCAACTATCATTAACGGTGACAATCAGTCTGCAGTTGCAATGACCAAGAACCCTGCGTTCTATGGCAGAACTAAGCACATTAAGATCAAGTACCATGTTTTGAGGGAAGCAGAAGCTGAGGGTTTGGTTTCACTAATTACCAAGCCACTGCCCAAGACCAAATTTGAAGAACTAAAAAAGATGATTGGAATGGTCAGCGGTATTGGCAAGGAGGTGTGTTGCAGTTGAACCTCGACTGGGACAAATGCAAGCTACCTGTGTCTTGCTGCTGAAGCAATGAAGCCTGCAGTTGAAGAAATGAAGAATGCAGGGGAGGTGAGGAGCATGACAACTTGGAATTTCGGATCTGTGATGTGTGAAGTAGAGATCAAGTGGCCTGGAGCTGAATTGAGGCCAGGTCACTTCTTTTGGGACCACAGCTGAAGGTAATAGTGCCAATGCCCCTGCTGGAATTGGTAGGAGACAAGGAAAGCGACTGTTGTACTTGCTCTCCAGCGTTTGTTTTGTTGGTTTATGCTTGTTGTTTCCTAGTAAAATCTGTCTAGGGTTTGATGTCCAGTTTATAAAAGGCTTGTTATGTTTTCAGTTGATGTAATGTGAGTGAAATGACTTTGAAATGCAATTGAAATGAGATCTGAAGCTTAAAAAGCTCAGATATTGTTCAAGCAGCTCTGGTTTTTTGGTTACTGTTACATTGGTTTCTTATTTTTGAAGTTAGTTTTTCTTATCACTTTCTACACCGATCAAGCAGGAGCTGATTATTATCAATACGTAGCTGCACACGAGGCTGCCGTGCTACGGAGGGTAGACCACGCAGTGGCGGAGCCACATGGAGTCACAAAATCAATTTCAATGTACTTCTGAGTTCTAATTTGTAATATTTGATGAATGAAAGTCTTGACTTGTATGTACTGAGCTTGTTTGTTTGATGTTGTAACCGGTGGACGTGACACTATTTTTATGTAATTGTATTAATTTAGAGTATTGCATTGTTGACTTTTTTTGTTTCATTTAGAGTTGACTTTTCTATTATATAAGTGATTTTTTATGATATGATAAAGACACCCCTGGCCAATTTTCTGACTCTGCCAGTGAGACCACGACCAGTCCAACGTCAGGTCCTCATCGGACGACCCGTCGCCAGAGGAGTGCTTGCAGATGAACGTTGAAAGCTCACCAGTCGACGAGAATGGATCGATACGACAGGATAAAAAGAATCTTGGAAAGGAGATCAGTAGTTGCGACACGATGAGCACCGAATGGCTCTCCAGGGAAGACCTCGATCGGATGATCAAACTCGCGGAAAGTGCTGTGGCTTCCTGCCAGAGGCTCATCGCCATTGGTGACCGAGCTACCGCATCCGCCGCCCTCACTACCACGTCGCTGGAATCGCCCCCTCCACCGTACCTACGCCTCCGTCGTCAATATTGCCAGAAGTCGTCTCTGACATTGAGGTTGAGACCACCCCAACTCGACACGAGAGCGACCAGCCGAAGATCGAGGTCGTCGGGATTAAAGGAGAGGCCGCCCTCTCATGTCACGAGCTGGAGGGATTCCTTGTCCCACCGCCAACAAGTCTTGGTGTTGTTGCGATCGAAGCAAACCTTGACGATGTCGTAGCCATCCGCCTTAAAGGGGTGGGATGCGGCTCTATCGGAGGAGGAGGATCGGAGGAAGCGACGTGATCCTGTTGCCGAAACTACCATCAAGTCACGGTCACAGGTTGGAGTACTCCTAGCTGGTTCGGTGTAGCCCCGCCTCCATCACATGAGTTGGAGGCAGTAACCATGGGTACGCTGCGTGAACTTAGAGAGCAAAGTACCCTGGCAGAGGAATCACCTGATACTCTTGAATTGCTGATCGTCCAGGTCCACGCGGGTAAGCTACTCATTGGGCCTAATCCTTGTACGTGGAATGGGAAATATCGCAAGAAGCAGGTGAGAGATTGTGGTGAACATCAAGGCGTAGAGGGAGAAGGAGGCTCGGGTTGCGGACTCATCGGACCATCCATGAGCGGTCTGATTGGGACTCTCTTATACGGAGTGGACTCAATCATATTTTCCCAATTCCATCTCCTCAAGGGAGCCAAACTTGATTTCGTGTCGGGGAGACAATAAAAGGGTTAATTATGGAACTCTCTTCAAACCAGGAATTGAAGGCAACGTGGGAGTGCATGATGTGGGATGGGAGTTTGGTTTTTCATGTGGTTTACGAGAATGGGACAAGGACAAAATTGGGATAAAAAGAACCTATTCTCTTACATGCACTACAACAAAAACTAGCTTTTGCAACCAAAATCTTTACAACCAAACTAAAATTGGTTGTGAAAAGGGTAGTATTTACAACCAATTGTATTTTGGTAGCTAAATATTAAAATTTTGGTTGTCTATTAAAGTCAAAGTATTGATAACCAAATAAAACTTGAAGAGACCAAATAATTTGGTAGCAAAATGATTTTTACCTTTTCCAACCAAAAATTTTTGGTAGCAAAATTATTTTTAGTTTTTCCAACCAAATAATTTGGTACCATATTGATTTTTACTTTCTCCAACCAAATATTATTGGTTATGAATTTAAGCAAGAGATTTGAAAATCTTAGATAACTAAAAAATTTGGTTGCAAAGCCAATGAAAAAATTCAGCAACTAAATTATTTGGTTGTCAATTTATCAAAGTGTTCTATAAAAATGTAGGTACTATATATGAAATTATTAAAACTTAGTGAATGAAATAGTAATCATGGAAAACAATTTTTGTCATTCATTAGCTGCCATTCAAGTGGTCTGCTAAGAGACGAGGTTTTCGACTTGTCGATTCCATTTGATTCCATCCGAGTTCTCCTCCTCTTCTTCTTCCGTCTCCTCATGTCGATTTGGGTTCTGACTCCAGCTTCTCCTCTTCTCCCGTCTCGTCTTTATCGGATTCCCTATTTGCTTCTTTGAGGTCCGGCTACTCCAGTCTGCAGAGGAATCACGATTTTAAAAGCAAGTAAAGAGTTCGCCTGCTTCGTTCGATAATTCCTCCCTCCCTGTCGATTCTCAGAAGGTAACAGATCCTAGCCTATTTCTAATTTCTATCTAAGTTGAACTAGTTTGAAATTCGGTTGAATCCTATTTTCACTTTTGAGCTCGGTCAAATTCGATCCGCATCCGATTTGTTTTCTAGACGATTCCGGATCGAATCCCTCGCTAGCTTCTGTGAATTCCCCATCGTCGTCGGGACGACTCCTCTTTGACTTCGATTGCCGCCGATTGTGTCGGTGTCGACGACGGCCGAGGAAGAGGAGAAGGCACATACGCCAGCCTAGAGCACGACCGCCGCTCCAATCCCTCGCCAGCGTTGCTGTGATTTTGATCGCGAGTAGTGCTGCCGCCGAAGGAACCGATGCTTTCTCCTTCGTCTCTCCGATCTCGCCCTTGGTCCGTGCATCGGGTAAGAACCGATCAGTTATCGATTGAGGTCAATATTCTAATTCTTACTAGAACTGATCGTTGTTATGCTTCGGTGTGATTGTTCGTTGTGGTTTTCTGAATAAAGTTCGAGGAGCCGTCGAGTGCTTCATCCGACGCCCTAGAGATTAGGTTAGGTTTTTCTAATTTGCTAGAGCTTAACTTCTTCGTTCTTTGCTCTGGATGGTCAGACCTTGGTGTTAGTTCTTGATTGTAGCACTAGGTGAACAGAATCTTTAAACACATCATTCCATATGCTTGAAACAAAACCTTTCTTCAGTTCGTGTTCAGGGGAAATCTGGAAACAAAGGTACAGTTCCTAAGCAAGGATTCATGGGGAAGGAGCAGGAGTGCCATAGAAGCTGCAATGCCACTGCCTGCAACAAAAGACTGAAGTTTCCATGACACTGCCATGGGTTTAGCAGGTTCTTTTAGTCCATGGGTATTAAAAATTAATGACTACTAATAGAAGATTAAAAACTCAATGGGGAACTTTGTAGTTTTATAAGGTTTTTGCCATTGGATTACCAATTTATAGTCACCATAGTTATGCATTCATTAGTTGTTGTCATGGATTTACAAGGTTGCTCGAGTCCATCCATTTTAAGTTTACATGGTTATATGATTATGTTGTGATGTAGAGGTTTTTGCCATTGGATTACCAATTTATATGATTACGTTTCAGAAACCACAGCCTCATCGTCGCCCACGTTCAATGTGAGTTTCTAACCCTTCCTGGTTCCTTCAGTTGCTTCTGTGTTTTGGATGTTCTCTTGGATTTGCTTCTGTGGAAGGGGTCTTCATATTCATGCTTTTGTGGATTTGCATTTTTGTTTTCCCCTATAGTTTTTTTTTTGTTTGGATTTTTTATATGTGTCATCGGATTATCTATTTGATGAAAGGGAGCTGTTTTGAGAGTCTCCTTGCATACACCATCATGACAATTTGTTCTCAAACTTTTCTATGCCTTACAGTATACAACGACTAATGTTTTTTTTACCTTCATCTTCTTTTTTATCTTTGCAGGTAGCTTCTCTAGAGCAAGCATCTAACAAGCATACCCAGACTTTTTTTTGTTTCTCCTTCTATGATCATAGGAGGAGCAGGAAAGTAAAAGCTAGAGATGATGGAAGATGGAAATGGCCAAATGTGAGTACAAACAACTTTAACATCCAACATTTCTTTATTGATGTTTCAGGTTTAATTCGGCTGTTTTTACACCTTTCTCCATCCCCTGCTAGTTTCCCTTTTCCCGTCAACTGTTTCGATTCTATTGAGTAACCATTAAATGATGGTGAGTACCCCATTTAGGTATACCTTGCTTATTTGTCCTTCTGGGTTTATCTATTGTGAATGAGCTAATGGTCCTGCATCTTTTAGCTCACCGAACTATTGAACACATAGAAGAAGCTTGATCTTAGAAATGTTGTCTTTATTTTGGAGTTTGGTCGCCTCATGTAGCTTGAGTTCTTGTTTTCACGGCAATGCACCTGTTGTTCTCTTGGCCTGTAATGGGACGGAGTCATGGATATTTGTGCGAACTTGGGTCGCATTGAAAAGCCTAAGGGACTGCTGAATAGTGAGCATAATTATGCAGTTATGGATATATAGTGCGAGGATGATCTGGCATTTAGCTCCTGTGATATTTTTTAAGATGTCTCTTGTTTGTTCTCTTTGATCAAGTTGTGGACTACCCCTCCATTGCTTGTGAAGAATATATTTCTGGCTGAGATACGTTCTTGGAGTGTTATCTGATTATCTGGACATGCTTCTTTATCCTTTCATTCATTCTTGTCGGATCCTTTCAGGGAACAAGTAGGTATGTTGTTTGATCTCTCTGGGGTTTGGTTGTCCAATCAATTAATGCTCAAGTCAAAGGCACATCCTTTAGCTATCATCTATACGATAGTTGGCTAGTTTCTCCCTCCGAGTTGGCTAGAGAGTCTTGTTATGGGAAGTCTTACTAGTTTCTCCCTCTTGCTCTGCGTTGGCTAGTTTCTCCCTCTGGCCATTAAAAGTGTGCCATGAAACTTTCTTTTCTTTTGAACTGATCACTACTGAGATGCAGCAAAATGACTCCAGTTCTAGTGCACCAGACCCTGCTGCCGAGGCTTTCCTTGCCAGCACACTACGTTACATTCAGTTCCAGAAACAGAAAGGCGGTACAATTGGCGAAAGATACCCTAAGTTAGCTGCTTATATATTGTCTTGAAAAAGATTCTCAGGCAGTAGTCACCCTAAGTTAGCTGGTTATTACCTTATGTTAGTAAAATGGTATTGTTTTCATGAATGTGATTGTCATCCTGTTGGTGGAGCATAAACATGGGAGCCTACTGATTTTGGTTTATTTGTGTATCTGTTTTGTAGTAAAAGCAGTAGGATCTCAAGAGGAGCTTCATGATTTAATGGTGAATCATGAACCGAGATGATCAATCATGAAGCATGGGAACTTAGAAATCTGTAATTCCACTGATTAGTATCGGCAGCAACATCTCTGCATATGGAGGTGACTCTAACAGGTGAGTAATGGATTTGTTTTTCCTCGGATTGGTATGCTATTTACTTGGTGAGACCCATGGATTTGTGATTGTCGAAAATGGTTTTGTTCAATGAAAGTCTTGAACCAACCAGAAGATTAAAGGATTTGATTCCTTTTCCCTTTTTACTTCTTTTTCTAGATAATAAATCTTGATAATTTTATAAATAGTATTTGGTTGAAAACAAATCCCCGGTTGGGCCATCCGAAGCCCGCGATGATTAGGGTTAAGGAATGCACATAGCAAGACCCTAGGTTGTGCAATTGATTTTGGTCTCTGTTGGAGGAAACTTTGCCTTCTGTGGGTTCTGGTTTTGATTCCTTTTCGTAATGTAAATTTGTATTATCAAGTTACTAATTAGTACTTGAACTTTGCCTCAGCAGCTGCTCAAGGAGTACAAAGGCAAGCTAGCCAAAGTTGCAGGAAGCAACAGTCCTCCAAGGCAGTTCTACGTTTATGCCCTCTATGGCTTCGTCCGAGCTCAGGTATTCTAGCTCCTCGTTTCATATTGATAGGGTATCTGCTTATTTGTATGCTATCTAAGGTAGTTTTGTTGACGGTTGTTAGCTCTTAAAGAATCTAGGTCTTTCAGGCTGATAATCTAGGGTTAGGAAACCAGATTATTGTAAATATCTGGGGGAATGAAATTGTGGTTCCAAAGAGCTTGAAACTGGGAGAACTGTTGCTTTGAAGAAGGTTCGTTTTGACTCTTGTTTACTTCTCATCTACCCTGCAGCATATACCTAGTGTTTGAATATATGGAGCATGACATTGCTGGACTGCTTTCTTGCCCGGATGTCAGATTTGCCAAGTCACGGGTTAGTTCCCATTTTATGTCATTGGTGAAGAAGCTTTTGAATTTTGAAGTTCTAGCATATGTATTAATGTTGTTTGTTATGTTTTTATTCTCCCCCTCTGCAGGTCAAGTGTTCCAAAGGTGGAATGGCAAATCAAAGATACGTGAAGTAGTTAGTGTCCTCTTTTTATTTTTTGAAATAGTAGGCCGATTCTTAGTGATAATTTGGTGTAATTGTGATTTTGGTTACTAAACAATAAATTGTGAACTAAAATTTTAGTTGGTAAACAATTTTGTTATATGAAATAATTTTTTATTATAATTCTATTAATTTTTAATATTTTTATTTTAGTGACCCAAATCTCATCTACCAAATTGGTCATATGAAATGAATTTTTTGGTCGGCGTATGTATTTTCTGCAACCAATTCTTATGGTAGCATTTAACTTTTATAACCATAAGAATTAGTCGTAAAGGGATAGTTGGTCACCATTCATATATTTTACGACCAATTATTATGGTTTTGTTAAATTTTTAGAACTAATAAAATTAGTTACCTAAAATAATATGATTGGTCGTCATATGGATGTTTAACGACCAAATTTTATGGTTGCATAACAATTCAATAACTAAAATGATTAGTTGCCAAAAATGATGAGTGGTCGACATATGTATTTTTGACAACCAATTTTTAAGGTTGCGTTAAACTTTCATAACCAATTCCATTGGTCACCAAAATGGTTTAATTGGTTGAGATATGTGTTTTTCACGACCAATTGTGTTAAACTCTTATAACAAATATAATTAGTCGTCTAAAATAATATAATTGGTCGGGATATGTGTTTTTCACGACCAAATTTCATGGTTGTGTTAAATTTTCGTAACTTAAACAATTGGTTGTTGTAATGATATAATTGGTTGACATATGTTAATTTCCCAACCAAATTGAATGGTCACCTATAAAACGTACGTAAATTCTATTTGCGACCAAAATAATAGGTTACTAATAGCCACATCAAATTGGTTGTCATTTTTATTTTTCGCGACCAATCAATTATATTTCCCAACCATTAAGTTGAACTATGACAACCAAATTAAAATGGTCGCGAAAAAGTATGGGTTTCTTACCATTGGCGAATTTGGTTGCGAAAGCTTTCTTTTTTGCTACCAATCCACATTTTGGTTGCGCTAGGAATTAGTAACGCGGCTATAGCGACCAATGCTGCTACCAAAATATTTTGGTCGCAAAAAGGTATTTATAACCAATTTTTGACCTTTAGGAACCAATTTGTTTGGTTGCAAAAAGCCATTTTTCTTGTAGTGATGGGAAGTTAGTTTTGGAAGATGAAGATTGGCGGACAGGCAAATTAAGTTATGCCCGAGGAGATGGAATTGGGAAAATATGAAGGGTATTGGAAGGATGGAGTTGGAATTGAAAGTGTTGGGGACTTTTACGTGGAAGAGTTTGAGGGTGGGAGCATTTTTGGTGGCCATGCACAAATCAAGATCCCACTAATTATACAAAGCTTCGTCTCTCCCTGTAGTATTACTGTAATTGATTCAATTGGCGTAAAGGTCTGGTTCAAAGTTACGGGAGCCATGAGCATCAAGAAGACAAAGCGGTCAATTGATGTGCTGAAGGTGAACTGGAAGTATCGCAAGTGCGGGTGTGGTAGTCCAAGTCCTGTCATCGACTCATCGTCCATCACAAGCTACATGGATGCTTCTTCTTGATCGATCCGGGTTGAAATGATGCAGGCATGCATCCTTGGGCTGAATATGGGCTTAGTAATTAGGGAATTACTATTGGTTAATTGTCATATTATTATGGTTATTTAGGATATTCGTATTAGTTTATTGTGTCTTGTTGAGGAAGTTAGTGTTTACTTGTTGGGTTAGGATTAATTTACCTTGTTTGAGAGGGAATGGGTATGAGAGTAGTCCTATAAATATGTATATTGTTCTTTGGATTTCGTTAAACAATGAATAAGAGTCAAGTAGATTTGTAGTAATTTAGCTATCTTTATCGCGTTTGATTAGTGTCGTAGAAGAATTCGAGTTCCACGATACGTGAGATTCCGCATCATTGAACTCCTTTATTAACAGATCGACTTCTTGTTGAACTTATGTTCGAGAACCAGCATGGAGCTAGCTTTGCAGTACATTAACAATAAGGAGATCAATATCACGAGATTCTTCGTCTGAACAAACTGCACATAATCGAGCCTTTTTGTAAGGGTTCTGATCAGAATCTTCTCCATAGATTTTCCTTTTTGAGATTGCCTCCCCACAATCAGTAATGGATTCACCTTCTTTTATCTCCAGACTCAAAAGTTTATTCTCAGAACTTAGTAGATTACATAATCGTAACATTGCTGAGTTGTAATCTGTATGTACTCTTACCTAAACCAAACAGAATTAAACTAATAATAATAAACCCTCATGAAAATATAAGAGTATATACAGATGTCTCGCAAGAAGAATTGGGAAATTTGAATACTGTATTCAAATAATCCTATTACCAAAAGTAAAACCAAAACTCGCAAACTAATCAGCCAAACAAACACCACATTGTAAGAACTAGTAAAGAGCAAAACACTGTGTGCACTGTGCAGTACAACCCATTTTTATTAATTATTATTATTATTATTATGTTGTTGTTGTTGTAACCATAACATCATAGTTCCCTTCCCACCTTGATTCTCCCCAGCCGCCTTTCTTCACAACAATATGCACCGCCGTTACAATCAACCACCGATGCAACGGTAGTACACCGGACCCGACGGCGCCACTTTCCTAGCCACGTCAGCTGCAGCCTCTTGCTTGACGCTCATCACTGTTTCTTCCCGATTCACCACCACCACAGTTTCCACCACCTTGGGAGTAACCGTGGGGCTTGAAGCATAGAAACCACTCCTCTGCATCTTGGATTTTCAAACCTTGACTCGCAAGCAAGTTGTAGACTTCTCCCTCTCACGTTTTCTTTAACCGATCGCTTTGTTAGGTAGTTTTTGCTATATATGGATAAAAGAATTGTGCAGTATGTATAGAGTTTGGGAGGGAATGAGGAACAAAGGGTTATTAATTAATGGATATATGTTCATGTACTATAACTTAATACGATCAGGGAAGCCAAGGAGTTCTTGTTGGGGAAGCGGCTAGATGTAATTTCCATTGGTTCGTTGCACCATTTCTCAGCAATCCCAGTCGTTTTCTATTTTTGTAATAGATTAAGATGCCAATGGAAATTTGGATTCGAGAGAATTCATTTGCTGCATGCCACTCTATCACCTTGACCACAAAAAAAGTATGGCTGGGTGGATTCCATAAGAATTGTGTATGACCAAGGTTGTTAAACTGGTTTATATCGTCGCGCTGGTTTGGCAAGTGAAATGGTACGATCTATGGTATAAGCGGAGTGCGTCAATTCATGTCGGTTTAACGACATATGTAAAAATATGAAAATCATTAACATTCGATGTATTTAATCATATATAAAATATATTTATGGACAATTTACTTATATTCCAACAAATAACATTAACTTTTACCTTTTAAATTCATAAAATAAATAAAAATATTTTTTTTGTTAATTATATCTACTAAAATGACGACATTTTGCTTAGAATTCGTAAGTCGATCATGCCGGTTCATGACACCTACATGACAACCATACTATGACCCATCAATGTAAGGCCAATTCATAAAACTGTGATCCGCCTTGTTTCTATTTTCTTCTTGATTCTATCTAACCCTTTAGAATCGGGTCGCGCCGAGCTAGTGGGTCGGCTTAAATCAACATACTCATTTTTTTCAAATTTATATTTTGATATCCAAATTTATTTTATCACACAATATAGTACTAATTAAACTTTATTTTTTTACAAATAGGTCTATTGTTTTGTGATAAAATTAGATTTTAGCACCTTTATATCTTTAGCTTGCATTATAGTGTCTAAAATTTTAATACTTTACAAGTAGGTCCAATATGTTGGTATGAGGAATTTTATATCACTAATTGTTGGCTTGTTGCTATGTAGCATAGGGTCAGAAAGTGATTCGACACTAAGTTGACCCGACCCTTTTAAGGTAGAAAAAAGCGATCCGACTCTATATTTCAAATTTTAAATGTAATTTTACTTATATTTTCAAGTTGCAGGACCTACAGCCCTTCAAGTTTCAGTCTAACTCCTCCACTTAAATTAATTTTAGTGAGCACTAATAAAGTCACAATTCTAAGTGACAAACGTGAAACAAATTAGTAATCTCAAATGAATAAACTTGCAATTTACCCAAATAACATAGACTAATGATGTTAAAAAAATTAGACAAAAGTAGACCAAGAAATTTGTATAATACTACATTCTATATACACAAAAAATTACAGGTAAACTTTCACCGACATCAGTGAGAGATGTACTTAAAAAAACTGAGAGGCAAGGTTGTCAACCCGCGGGTTGACCCACGGGTCGACCCAATTTGATCCTGACCCGGTAAGAAAAATGGGTCGCACGCACCCGTCGGGCCGACCGCTATTAGGTACCGGGTTGGAGGTCAAATTGTGTCATTTTTATCTTTAGTTTGCGAAATGCGCCTATTTTCCAATTTTTCTTTTCGCCTAACTCAATCTTTGGAATACTAAGTTGAACATTTGAATATTTATGTTATATAAGTGTGTGTGAATTTTCACTATATGTTGGATCTAAGTACGATATGTCATTTTGGTGTAATATTCACTACATGAAAACTGGTTTCTAGTCACGGGATCTTATTCACGGTAATGTTTCCCGTACTAAGAAGTATGCTGATAGTCACAGTAATAGTTCCCGTATTTGATTGTATAGTTCTAATCACGGTAATTGATTTATCTATTTTTTAGTCTACATTTTCCGTGATTAATTGTTAGTCACGGTTAGTACCCGTGAACAATGTGACAATTACTTAAAAAAAATAATTTCAAATTTTAGGAGGGAGAATTTCCTTTAGCTAAAAAATTTGATTTGGTTCCAAAAAATTGATTTCCACCAAACAATTTGCTTTGGCTCCAAAAATTTAGTTTGCCTCCAAAAAATTTGCTTTGGCTAAAAAAAACCCTCCAACAGCAAAACTAAACCCCGCCATTCTCTATCATTTTTGAGAAGAGCTAAACCCATTTTGGCTCCAAAATTTCACTTTGGCCCGCCACTTTTTTTTTGGCTCTCTCAAATCGAAAAATAATCGTACGATACGAGCTGGAGAAAACTCGATCTAAAGAAAAGTAAAGAAAGCCTCTCTTTCCCTCTTTCTATAATCTGTTCCAGCGCTCACTCCTGCTTCTTTCCCCATCCCGACTAGTTCCTTCTCCTT